GACTAATAAATATTAAAATGTCTTTTAAAGAGGCAGGTCTTCACCTGGCACCAAAAAGAGCATAAAGAAGGTGCCAGGCAAATCTCCCTAGGGAGAACATTCCAAATGTGAGGAACAGCAGCAGAAAAGGCCCTCCTCCTAGCAGCCTCCCCTCTCGCCTCCCTGGCACATGCAAGCCCCCCACCGCATTGATCTTAAAGACCAGGTAGGCAAATACGCTGCAGAGGAACAAATGTATCCTTTACATGGGGCTGTTCCCAGAGGTTTGCATTTCTTACTCTAGATATCTTCTAGATATTTTATTAACCAACTGCAAGCTGGTGATGTGGTGTAACTGCAGTATAGCAGATTTTTGTCTTCTCAAGAAGTTTTTATTCCAGTTTTAAAATTCAATACCAGCTAAAAATAACTCACAAAAAGGCTGGAAAATTTGGGAGAGGACAACAGTGTCATGAAAAGGCCCTGCAAGCTTGCATGACTTAACAACAACCTAAACAACTTTGGGTCAGGTTACTTTAGGGCAGGGGTCTCAAACTCAACTGACCTGGGGGCTGCTGGAAGTAGAGTCTGGGTGAGGCTGGGCCGTATCAAGTATTCCACCACCGCGGTGGTGGTGGGCCGCTCATCCCGCGGCGCTTTGAAGGCCGCAGGGCCCCTGCCCCTGCCCCGCCTGTCCCGGCAATTGGCCCGCGGGCTGCGAGTTTGAGACCCCTGCTTTAGAGACTGCTTCACCGTTTGCTTCCAAGCCTGATCATTGTTGCCACCTGAAGAAACAATTCTGAGGGTGCTACATTTTCCTAAATCTCAAAACTCTGGGGTCCTATGTAATGACTTTAGGTAAAGAATTCACTCCCCAAAGAGGTCCGCCTGGCACCGTCGTTACTGGTTTTTCGGCGCCAGGTAAAGACCTTTTTATTTAAACATCATTTTAATTGTTAAAATATATGATCTGGCCAGGGCAACTTCTTCTTCCTTCTCTTTTCTCCTCCTATATTCTTTATTTACTTATTTTATACTGTTAATTTTAATTTTATATTATTATGTTTGTATCTCAGTGTATTTTTTGTATTTAGTGGTAATTTATTATGTTCTATTGTATTTCAATGTATTTTATTGTGTTGTAAGCCGCCCCAAGGCTTCGGCAAGGGGCGGCATAGAAATGTAATAATAGTAGTAGTAGTAGTAGTAGTAGTAGTAGTAGTAGTAGTAGTAATAATAATAATAATAATAATAATAATAATAATAATAAAGCAGTCCAGAAGATGGGTACTGTAATACTAAATGCTCTACTTGGAAGTGCATTTCATAAAGGCTTTCCTCGAACTGTGACCCAGCCTGCTTTGGTCTCTAACATGCAGCAAAGTGTGTGGTTTTACTGCTGATTATCATGCTTAAAAAGTATTGATCCTGAACTGGTATGGCTTCCTTTTGGACAATCGAAGATAGCAGAGCCATTTGAAAATCCCCAGATTTCATAACATTCTGCTGTTGTACTGGCCCTTTCATGCTTGTTTAAAGTAATAGGTTATCTAACACATGGCTATTGTGTGCTTGTAATTTGTTCATCCTAACAGGAACATTTTGAGACAATTAGTATTATTCCCATTTCACAGGTGGAGAAAAGGAGAGACTAAGAAATAGTGACTTGTCCAAGGTCACCCAGAGTGTTCATCCTTAATCACCGATGTGAGTAGAAATGGCACATTAGTTTGACTAGTTCCATCCACCTCTATATAGCTAACAGCAGTAGAATCAAGCTAATATAAGTACACCTATGTAATTTATTTGGGTTGCAGAATTCACTTTTTCAGGTAGAATTGATCACCTTGCTCAGATTTTAGAGTTGGTTTGTGTCTATGGGGCAGACAGAGTGAGCCAGTTGGCATAACTGCAGTGAGAAAAATAAGCAAGGGTGGCTTTTTCCTCCCACTTTTTCCTCCTCAAGCAAGCCATGCTGACAGAATTTGAATGACGCATCAAACTGTGCCAGTGAAGGTAATTAGGGACGTGTGGCTGGTACATATGGTGGGGTTAACAAATAACCTTGGCTCATTAATCATGGCACAATTGTATGAAGCAGGTCAATGAAAGCTAGGTTTTTGTAAAAGTGGCTCCTGTGAAACATTTCCTGATCTGGGATTTCCTAGCTTTCCCCCCCATCCAATTATCTGGAAGGCTCGTGTTTGCCACCTGCTCAACTGAGATCAATAATTCCTATGGGTCACCCCTGTCTTTACTCATTTGCTTTAGTTAATGAGCAGACTACTCCTACTCACAATTATATAATAATCCACCAGACTGTATTGTGGCTAAAACTGGAGTAACCAACTCAATGTGGAGGCACATGTTATGAAACAAAATGGCAATGCCTGGCTTGCTTTATGAAAAAAAGCAAACTGAGCAACTGTTCTTATGGTAGAATAAATATTTTATAGTGCACTCAGAAACAACAAGCTACTGCTCCAATGCCGTCCCAGAGCTTCTGCCAACAATTAATTTAGTCAGGATTCTATGCCATTCCAGCAGCAAAGTCAAAAACAGAATTACAGCACTGAAAAAGACAGTATTGCAACGGAAACTGCTTCTGCAGGAGCCCCGGCAACTACACTGGCACTCGCTGATCATGATGTTGCTTAGTGATGATGTTCATGCCTCAGCCATGCATGGAAGGTCCCAATCAATATGCAGCAGCTGCAAATCTACTTCATAATGTACCCAATGTAAAATTCACAAGTGTGCTAAAGCCAATCCTTCTCCCATATTGGCTTTTGTGACGCAACAGAAAGGAGTCTTGTACTGTTAAAGTCCACTAGGTCCTTAAGAGCAGTGTTTGAGTTCTACTGTAGCATTAATAAAGGCTAAAAGCTACACATCAGTTGTTCAGAAAACTACACATAAAAGTTTATTTGAGCTGGATCTGGTGTGATAAGAAAAGGCATTTTGAAAGGGAGAGGGGGGCAACACTGACAAGGAAGAATTCACAACAGTTCTCTACAAAGGATGGATCCAGGTAACTAAAAGACGGCCTACTCAGCCTGTTCCCCCATTGCCCCCACTGAGGAAGCGAGCTTTTCCTCAGCTGCATTCCAATTGCAGAATATTCTTGCCAGGGAGGCTTATCTGACCATTACAAGCCTGGTTGAATGAAGAGATCTTAATCGAGTACTAAAATGGTAGACATAATGTTAGTACCAGATGAAGATCTTTTTATGCACCCAGGTTTTTAACCAGCTAGCTGGTTTCAGGTACTGCTGCACTTTTATTTTTTTTTATTCTTCCTGTTCCACTTAGCATTCTTTTGCTTTGGCTTCTTCTTCTGCTTTAGTAGGTTTGATTTACTGTAAAATGTTTCTGTATGTAACTTGCCCTTTGAGTTGGACAACTAAAAAGTAGGGTAACAAAGTGTCTGAAATAAGCAAAATTGTTCACAGAAGGTAATGCTACAAAGAGTACTGTTTTTGCTACACTAACACAATTATCCCCTAGAAGCATTTAACACTATTATTTGCCTTGACCTCAACAAAACACAGAGTGTATTTTGAGCACCTTTCGACTAACGATAACTTTAGCTGAAAAACTAGAGGCAGCAGTACAGAACTCAAGTTCCCTAGTGCAGAGAATTGAAATCCCTCTGCACAGTCAGAGGAATTAATAGGATAGTTACTTGGGATGGGCTTGTCATCATTTCCTGACATTCCTTTCTCCTTTCATGAAGCCATAGCTTGGTAAAACAGTCTAAGTTTAGCATATGCATGCATTTCACTCCCATTTCAAGGGTTAGGAGCTGCCATACACCTGGGACTGTGCAGTGCTATAGTTGTTTGGAGCAATTCACTCTTGGATCAATGGTTTCCTTCAGGCCCCAGGATATCCCATCACCTTCATCTCATCCAGACTTGCCTCTCCTAGGCCCTGGATCGCTTATCGGTATATGCTTGGTTTTTTTCCTCACAGACCATGCTCCTGAACCCCCTGCCCACTCACAATCATCCCAAGGCCACACCACTGGGTGATTAACTGCTGCGCCTGGGTGTGAGGAGCACACGCTGCCTGAGCCGTGGCCCATCCCCATGGAGTCCATGATGGGAAGCCTCCTGCCACTGGGAGTCCCATCCTGACACGGGTAACTTGGTGTCCTGCAGCAGCAGGGGTTGCACCCGATGGCCTCCTGGCCCCTTCCAACCCCCCTTTCCCATGAAGGGGGGGGTGTTAGGCGATGGCCCATTAGGGGACGGCCCATTGAATGGCCGGGAGGCCTCTGCCCCGCTCGCCCGCTGTCCAGGGGCAGCAGCTGAACCGAAGGCGCAGGAGCCCCGAGAGCCTCTGGTGCGTGGGATCCTGCGCCCCAGAAGAGCTGCCCTTTGCCCACAGGGCGCCACCTTCATCTGCCCTCGCCCGAGTCTTTCTGCGCGATTTTTTAAAAAGCAAACGCCCTGCTCTCCTCCGGTCACGTATTCCAGAGATGCTTTTTTGCCAACAGGGCCGTCCCGTCTGAGAGAGAGAGGAGGGCGCGGGTGAATCAACATATGCCAATCAGCGCTTCCTCTCCCGCGCCCCGTGGGCCTCAGCCCCGCATCCTTGCGACCCTCCTCGGTACCCAGCACCGCCCTGGCCAGCCCGAGATGCCGGCTGCGGGAGCAGGGGGCGGCGCCGGAGAAACGAGCCCGCCCGCCGCCTGCGGGAGAGGGCGAGCAGCACCGTTTCGGCCGCCGCGCGCGGACAGCGCATGCGCACGCCGCCGGCGCAGGCGCAGGCGAGGCGGGCCGGGCGGCGCGGGAGGAGGCCGTGCTCGCTCTCCCGCCCGGCGCTGGGGGCGCGCGCGCTGGTTGCGGCGGTGTCCTCGCGGCCGGCCCTTTTTTCCCACCTTTTCCCGCGCCGCTCCCGCCGCCGCCGCGCCGCCGCCGGGCGCGCTCTCGGCCCTGCGCTGAGGCGAGGAGGGCGCCCGCGATGCGCGCCGCTGCGCCGACCGTCCGCTGAGGGAGAGGCGCGAGCGGGAGGCCATGGCGGAGTCCCTGCCGGTGCCCGGGCTGTCCCTGCGCGAGGAGCCGCTGCCCGGGCCCGGCGCGGGCGAGACGGAGGCGGAGCTCTCGCTCAGCCTGGCGCGCACCAAGACGCGCTCGTACGGGAGCACGGCCACCGTGGCGGCGCCGCTGGCCGAGCGCCACCTGGAGCACCGCCTCGGCCCCGGCGACACCCTGCAGGGCATCGCGCTCAAGTACGGCGTGACGGTAGGTGGAGGCCGCGCGGCCGGGCCCCGGCCCCGTCCCCGCCGCCGGCTGGCTGGCGGGCGGGCGCGGAGGGGGGGGGGGAGAGCGCCCCTGAGCGTGTGCAGAGGGCCCCGTCTCCGCAGCGGAGCCGCCGCCGCCGCGACGGCTCCTGGTGGATGCGCCTCGAGCAGCGCAGGCAGAGCTCGTTTCTCCTGCAATTCCAGCCAGTTTCTTGGGTTTTCATTGCATATAGAATGGTTCTCTCTGAGCATACACAGAGTGCCCCTCTTCTTTCTCTTTGTCTCCCCCAACAACAAAACAAGTCTTCTGCTATCTGTGCTGATAAGAGGGAAGTGCTTGCTTCTGAGCATGTGCGGAGTGCTTTGCTTTGGAACTCCCATCACCGGAGTGGAGAATTCTCCAGTAATTCCAACCAATCTGTTGAGTCTCTGATATGAAGAGTCTTTCTCTCTGAGCATATGTAGACTCCCCTGTCCTAAGATGGAGTAATTGCCTCTGGGGCATGGTGGTCGTGGGGTTCCAGCTAGGTCTTTTACTTTAGGAGTAAGTGCATCACTGGTTAGCAGATTTACAGGAGGAGGTGAAAGTCAGTCTGTGAACAGGAGGAGGTGCTGTAAATTACACACCTGTCACTCTTGCCCACCTCTGTTGAACTGTGCTGTGAACCTGATTTAAAAGTTCCCTTAACTGTGTAAGCAACTGAAATGGCTGTTGTGGATTGCAATAAATTTTAGAAGTAATACATCATCTAAAGGTGTGCCCCAAGGATGCAGTGTGGCTGGCAGTACCTGGCTGTAGCTTGTGGAATGTGTGCAGCCACCAAGAAATCAGTCTGGTTGTAGCTTTTTGTTTTGTTTGTAAGACCACAGAAGATCCTGGGTACATGTATTAGCTTGCTTAAGGTAATAGAGTCAACTTGTTCACATTGGCTTTGTTCTTGAATAATACAACTTTCCTTTCTCATGTAGGTTTTATGCAATCCATTTCTCACTTTTATCTGTTTTCCCCACTATTAGTGTTTATTGTAAGTTTATTATGGCAGGGACTTGAGATAGGCTTTGAAAGAGAATATAGGTCTTTTATGGCAACGATCTTTAGGCTCTGAGTGTTAGAACTGCTTTATGTGATCCTTTGCAACTGTGGGTAATATGATAGGCACTTTTCAGTTTCCCTTTCAGCTGCTTTTGAGGTTTGTTCGTGTATCTTTTAATAAATTGTTTTTAAACCACAAAACACTCTGTATACTAATGTTCAGTGGAAACAGACAATTGTTTTCATTTGTGTAATTGATCAAACCCTATTTCTTGAATAACAATGAACCTGGCAAAAATGAATCACTTTTTATCCCTATCAACTGTCTCAAAAGAAAGATTTTATTTATTTATTTATTTATTTTTCTATTTATATCCTGCTTTTTCCTACAAAGGGCTCAAGGCAGGTTACATCATTCTTCTCCTTCATCTTATCCCCACAACAACAACCCTGTGAGGTAGGTTGGGCTGAGAGTCTGTGACTGGCCCAGTCACCCAGTTGGCTCCATGGCTAAGTGGGGACTAGAACCCAGATCGTCTGAGTCCCAGTCCCATGCTCTTCACCACTACACCACACTGATAGTTTGTAAAAAGATGCTTTATACTGCATGAACTTGTTCCAGTCTTTTATAAATGTGAGTTGTGAGTAGTTTGGGGATAGGAATCACCTCTTGTATGCCACTTGATTGCAGCTATTGTAATGCAAATAATTTGTGTCTAACAAGATGCATGGCATCATACAGGAAACAAGAGGTTAACACTTAGTCTATGAATTGGCACAGGGAAGACAACAGAGGAAGGGGAAGGAGGCCTGCTTGTACTTTAAGAAAAGCAGCAGAGGCCCTTTTCACTTGCTAACTTTTGAGGGCAGTACAGAAAGAGGGCCTTTTCTGCAGTGGTGCCACACTTCTAGAATGAGTTGCCATCAAAGATCACACCACACGACTGGTGTGAAATTCTTGTTTCCTGAAAGGGGAAGAAATCAGCTTGGGATATCTGAAATAAATTTCCAGATGTCACAGTTGCATTGCTGACAGTGGCAAAATCAATTAACATATATCCTTGGCAGTACCATGGTGCTAGTTGAAAACAGAGTAGTACTTCTGTAAGATAAAACCAGTGCATTGTGTGAAGTCAGTGAGGTAAAGCAGTATCTACTTTCAAGAAGGTCACGATCTCTGGAGAACATGTCATCAACCAGGCAATTTTCAAACAGCACACAGCGCATGCAAGCTGTAAGGGAGGTGATATGTAAGAAATTATATTACAGAGTGATCCTAATTTACCAGATCCTGCAGACTAGAATTGAAAGAGGATCTGAATTGGACAACTTGTAGCCAATTTTAAGAAAGTGCTATGAACTGATCAATTTATTGTAACTGTAGGGGCTGCAGCAAGTAGCCACTGTGGTGTGATGGTTAAGGATATGGGTCTAGGAGTCAGGAGATCCGGGTTCTAGTCCCCACTCAGCCATGGAAGCAACTGGGTGACTTTGGGCCAGTTGCAGAAGCTCAGCCCAAACAATGTCACAGGTTTGTTGTGAGGATAATATTGAGAGGAAGTGGAGAATTATGTAAGCTGCCTTGAGTTCCTTGAAAGGAAAAAAGGTGAGATATAAATAATTTAAGTGCTACCGTGAAGGAAACTTCTTAGGAAACATTTAACTTGAAACATCATACTGACATTTCAGTTGACATCTGTACACATGAACGAATGGGGAACGCTTGCTCAAGTTTTGCTACATGTTTTCACAGACTGGAAAGCATTGTTCTCTAGCACTCAACTGGGCACTATTTCTAATAATAGTGATAGAACAACCTTAGAGGAGTGAATTAGGAGATTTGGAGATCTAGGAGCCGTGGGGCACATCTAATTTCAATAGTATAGGGTGGCCGTGCAAGGAAAATGACAAAGAAATGCAAGGGGACAGAGTGAAGAAGGCAAGCAGGGAAGCTAGCTAAGTGTTAGAGACACCTGGCTTAAGGACTTGATAAGTAATCTAGTGTAACAGCTTGTCTGTTAGCTTGACCATAGGGAGGGCAGACCACCACAATTTTAAGCAACATTCAAAAGTTTCACAACTCTAGTATTATAGCTATGCATCCAGTGCAGAGATTGCCTGGTGGTCAAGATACATATCTGGCCTCCTAGTGTCAAGATATATATCTGGCCTCCTAGTACTCCTTCAGTGGTAGCACCACTGAAATTGATGCCACTAAGTGGTGAGGCACTGGAATACAAGTCAAGTAATATAATCAAGAAGGAAAACTAGTCCTGGAAATTTGCTCCAGAGAGGGGCATAGAGAGAGAGAGAGAGAAGCCATGGGACAAATGGGTAGGAAGTTCTCAAGAGATACTGCAAGGGGCATCTCGGCAGTGCTGGTGATCTGTTTGGTGGTGAAGATGCTTCAGGATTGGACCACATATTCTATCAGGACTATATTGGCTAATTTGTAGGTTAGCTTTTGTGTTGCTGGACTGTGATGGTGATCCGATGGAAACCATTTGCAGTGATATAAAGTTCTTACCTTTATTATCTTGTTCCCTCAAATGAGGACAGCTTGCATTGTTTGAGTTAAAACAAAATGTAGAAGTCGTGAATTTCAATTCCACATAAGACAGGAAGCTAGCACACTAGCATAAGAATCTGTTTGCTCCTAGCTGCTTTGAATCTCTAGCTCATGCAGCCTTTCTCAGAACTTCAAATTATTAAAGTTTTAGATAATACTTACAATCATCTTCAGTATGCTTTAAGAAGATACCATGTGGAATAACATAAGACGCATTTCAAATGTTTCTGTGTTAGAGGATACCAAACAATTTTGGCAACCGTGTTGTATTTCATGTTCGTTGTAAGTAACCTTGCATGCAACCACATGCTGTATATTGGCAAGCAATATACGATCCTGCCCTTATGTATGCATCCATGCAGTAAAATACTGTTTATGTAGTTTCAAGGCAAACATTTTTTCTATTTCACTATGCAACAAAATCAAAACCTTTCCTTTTTGGAAAGCACTGAACTATAAGTTAATTACTTAAGGCATAGTTTTTGTAAATTTAGACCAAGTGGACCTAGTGGCTGGGATATACTGATTGTTGTAGAATTGCATCCTTATTTATTATTATAATAGTACAGGATCTACACTGGTCAAGTATTAAATAGTAGATATGTAGAGAATTTTGTAGTTTGTATGTTTTTCTGGACCACACAGAGAAAAGAAAAATATATTAGTAGTCAGACTAAAACTAAAATATATAAAATAAATTATGTGGCATTAATTCTGTGATAGATATGTGGCACTTATTCCACAGTGATGGATATGTGAACACAGATATTTGATAATTCATGAATGAGTAGATCTTAGAATACTCTTTTTTTTTGCAATTTTTTAAAATCAAAATGTGTGGAAGAACTATTCTGTTTGCAAGTGGTTTAGTGGACAGGATGTTGGATAATGAGTAAGCAGACTGAGGTTCAAATTTGCTGTTTGCCTTGAAATTCAGTGCTGCTTAACAGTTGAGTTTTAGTAGCTGGATGTGGAAGCAGACTTAGCTGAAGAATATTGTGTTAGAAATGATAATGTAAATTTCAGTTGCATTCATGTTAATTTGTAATGTGTGATATTTAAACATGAAAGCTCATCACTTTGTCAACCCAGACCTTAAAGTAAAATATTTGTAAGCTACCTTACAGAAAAGCGATATAGAGCAAGACTCCAGTTACACAACAGGTGCATTATTAAATAAGCTGCACTGCAGCTGCTAGCAAGATATCATCTTGCTAGCTCATATTGAAAACAAAGATAAGAAATATCACAGAGAAAATATTGTGCTTCTTAGATTATATTTTGTTTTTTCACATGGAAAAAACATAGTAAACATGTATGGAAAACCTTTGTGCCTTCAAAGTTAATACTATATAATAATAATTCAATAAACAGCAAGATAACTATAATTCTGGGGGACCCAGGAAAATTAAGCAGAAAACACATACAGTTTTAGGATAATCTGTGCAGTTAGAATTAGAAATATAGTAGGTATTCTAAAACATTCTTGTAACTTAAATATTCACATGTCTATAAGGCTCATCTTATTTTTCAGCTGAAATAATGTGAAACAGTCACGAGGGATTTATGTTACCTGTCAGTCAGTAATAACACTGTAGCAGTATTATTAATTACAACCTTTACTTAGCACCATCAGAGCAGTTTGGATGATGGAGGTGTGTTAAAATTAGAGCCACTGTTTTTTCATTGAATGTCATTGTAGTTCTTGGGTCTCCTTGACTGTAATTATTTGAGGAGTCAAATCAGCATATGAAGGAGAGAGGGATGGATGTAGACAAAATTCCCTTTCTGCTTCCTTCACAACTCTCCTTTCTGGCTTACAACATCTATTTGTAGCAAATGATGGAGAGCCACCTAAATTGGCAACTAGAAATCTTGATCATCTCTTGGGACCCCTAAATTCCAAGCCCTCCTGACAAGATTATTACTTGTTTGGTCAAGAGTTCTACTAGGTATTCAGATACTTTACTTCCAAATCTGTTAATTTCTGCTGATGAATAGAAGGAACATGCATGGCAATCTGGGTTTCACTGATGGTTGTACTTCATCACAGCCAGAATTTAATTTCTGCTTTGCTGTATTTTTCCACCTTTTGGGACATAATGTGACATGCATAGAGGAATGTGGCTAAATCACTGGCTGGTGATTTTATTATTTAAGTACACATGAAAGAGATAGTGAAATTGTTGTGGAAATATACTGGTGATATATTTAAGAAAGAAACTTATGTCATGAGGAAACTGAACTATTGTGATGTTTGACTGGAATCAGTAAACATAATTCTGTTCCATCTTTTTCAGATGGAACAAATAAAAAGGGCTAATAAACTGTTCACAAATGACTGTATATTTCTGAGAAAAACATTGAATATCCCAGTTATGTCTGAGAAACCATTGCTGTTTAATGGACTTAACTCACTGGAGTCACCTGAGAATGAAACTAACAGCCCCCCTTCTTGTGAAGAAAGACCAGTGATAGTTCAAGAAGACAATTCTTCACCTAGTCCTCCAGATCTTGACAATCAACTCCATCCACCTGAAGAATTATCTGCCAAAGATTTTCTACACAGACTCGATTTGCAGATTAAGCTGTCCAAACAGGCAGCTAAGAAATTAAAATCTGAAGAAAACAGGTAAAATTTCATTTTTCTATTTATGTAAATGCATTTGAATGGCTTGGGGCATGTGAAATAGTAACATACATATAGTAACATACACTATACTATGACCCTGTCTAGAACAGGTGGAACTTCTCTGCCCTCTAAAAAAAAAGCTGGTCAAAGGAATCACCCACCAACAGCATCTCAGTCTTGCCTGGATTGAGCTTTAGTTTGTTTGCCCGCATCCAGTGCATTGCCGTAGCCAGATACCAGCGTGTATGTGCTGCATGTTTCTTGTTTGTGTTGAGGACAGAAAAAGTCCCTCATGTTTGTTTGCCTGACCATGGGAGACACATGCAATACCAGCAAGTGATTTTATATAAAAAAGACTCTTTATTGTAGGTGCACACGAGCAATGTAGAGCTAGTCTGTCTCCAGCTGCCACAATCAGCATGCATAGCGAATTTATATGTGTAGCTTTTTTGCAATGAGTAGTAACAGAAAATGTCATAGCAGGAAATATTCAGTTACTTTTATACATGGTTGTCTTGACCTATACTTCCTCTTAGGACATCTGCCTCCAGGCTTATCTTTATAAATTTTGACCTTCTTGACAGAGGTTTATTTTATATTTTCAACTCTATTTTTCTCTCTCTGATAGAGAACCCTTTGGTCATCAGGAAAATTTTATATTCTTCACTTGTCTATCCAATACCAATCACCATGAAATAAATCTTTTATCCTCCTTCCTCTTTTATTGTAGTTGATTCTTTTTATCTTCCTCCTCTTTTATTATAGTTCATTTTAAAAAGAAAAACACTGTTGTGCTTTGCTGCAGCTGATATTGTAATGTGTATTAAGCAGTTCAGTTCTATACCTTTCTAGCTTCCATTGCACTTTTGGCAAGACTGTGTTCTCAACTCAGTCTCTTTATGCAAGAATATCTTTCATGCATCATCCTTGCACCTGTGTGTCATCTCTGATGCTCTTGATGAGGTTTATCTAATGGCCTATGCTCATAAACCTCTTGAGGTACTTGATAGAAAGGTGACATTATTATTTAATTAGGTGGTATTCACCTGGCAATTAAGTTGGGTGACACTGTAAAGACTTTGTTTTTAGAAACCCTCATGTGGAATGGCTTGTGTGGGAGGATATTTATTTCAGAGGCTCAGGAAATGCCACATAGGACTTCTCTACATGAGACATTTAACCTGGCACTTTATGGAAGCTGTTTCTTCTATTTTCTGTGCAAGAGGATTAAAGTGTCCGTAATAAAAGTGCCCCCCTTGGGAATGATCTTTTCTGTCTTTATGTTCTATGTGTTCCACTGTATCATACAAGGTGGTACTTGAGGTATAGGGTTGATTTCAGACTTTACATGGTACCTCTGTAGCAAATAATGTTTGCATCCAGGAACATTTGACATTTCTTTGCTCTGAAAAGACCTGTGAAAGTGGCTGTAAAACATAAGAGAAACCCTGGAGGATGGTAACATTGTGTGAAGGACCTGCAAGCTTCCATGACTGAGCGCTCATGAGTGCACAATAAATTTATTATTTTTAGAAAATCTTTTAGTTGGAAAAAATCTCTGCAGAAATGTTGATATATTTTGGTTCAGTTCCTTTGAAAAATGCAATCTACCTATCCTCCTTTCCTGTTATAGGCCATTAGGCATATGACTACTTTGAATTGCATTTTTTTTTAAACGAGTCTCTTCTGTTCTACAGGGATACTGCAGGATAGCAAAATTTCTAATAGAAGAATCTTTCTTCACTTCATTTGCTGTGTACGCTGTCTGATACCTTTATCTAGATAGGATCTGTGTATTCTGTACACGAGAGTACAGAAAAAGCACAGAATGTAGTGCTGGGTGCAGAAATGGGATTCCTGGGGTAGCTCAGCTTATTCTGACCTTGAAATTCAGTGAGGCTGGGTAGCTGGGGTGATGAACAAACCACTCAAAACTCATGGGCTTTTCTAGGGTTGCTGGCTGTAGCGCGCTGATGTGAGGATGATTAGGAAGCCTGTGTGCCTTCTTAGGCACCCTTGTGTCATGTGAAGTGAACCATTGCGTTGATTCCAGTCTTAAATGGATCAGTGTTCTCCCGTATAGCAGTGTTATTACATCCCTCTCAAACTTCAAAGTTGTCAAGATGATAGAACATTTCCCCCTGTGGTAGTGTTTTTTCAGCTTCTTGTAATGCATAGCTCTTAAAAATTTAATGCCATACCTTCTGAAACATTTTCCCCAATGTCTGCAGCACTGTTTGGGGAGCACAGTTGGATCAATTTTTAAAATGAGCTGGCTGAGAAAATTACTACAACAATATTAGTAAAGAATGATACACATGGATTTAACTGGTGCCTGAAGGTGGGCCTTGATGAAACTGATGGAAACTGATGTGCTTCTTTTGGACAGCTTTGTTGAATTGCGTCTGAAGTGTCAACTTATTTGGACAATTCCAAGAAATTCTTACCCTTTATTTAATAATCAGAAAGAACATAAAAGATGACACACAAGGAAGCAGAATGCTCCTTCCAGTGATGAGAGAGAAATATGACTGAAGCAGAGCTGACAGCCGCTTCTGTGCCAAACAGACATGATCCAGCACTATGGTATCTGTACACAGATTGAACAATTGCTGCATCATGGGAGCCGGCTTGTAAGTGCCTTTGGTTTCAATGAATGACAGGTCAGCAGCAATCCCCAAGTGATGTACTTTGAAGTAGTGTTACTAGAGCTGATTGAGCTATTGCGGAATATGTTATAGTTATTCTTGCACTTTTCCATAAGTTTCTTTTTATTTCAACAGGGAGGAAAATGAAGAAAATTCCTATGCAACTTCCTATCAGCAAGTAGATGAATGAAGAGCCAGAATGAAAGCAGTTCTTAAAGAACTTAATATTTGAAGATTCAAAAGCAAATCTTTTGGATTGATTTATTATGGTGTACTTGTTACAAGTTGTATATAGGTAATTCCACTGACTATTTTTGCACTAAATAATTTGATCTTCTGCCTTCCACAGGTCAGTGTCCTTTTCCTATACATTAATAAAGAAAGTGAACTTTCTAAAACTAGCAATTGCCTTCATATTTCTGCTATGAAAACATAGCAGAGTAGCAACAATATATCCCTGAGACCACTTTGATACAGGATCTTTAGGAAACAGTTGTACATTTTTATAAAGTATAAGAGGGATTAAGCATTTCTCAAAATCATAATCATGGAGTCTGGAGGCAAATAAGCTTGTAATGCAAATTTTGAGTGTATCAGAACTGACTGATGTCACTGTGTGTGTGTATGATATGTGTTCTTAAAAATGAACCTGTTTTAGCCAATTGTTTTGGGAAAAAAGGATACTGGACTTTTAAAGTATGTATGGCAAGATATTTCTTTGGAAACTTGACTTAAAAAAACAAAGGGAAAAAGCTTAGTAAAATGTATTTTTCTTTGTGAAAGGGTAATGTTGGAATATAGCTTTTTGTGTGCAATATATGTAACTTTCATGTAATAAATATAAAATGCACTTTAAGAAAGTGATTTATCTTTGTTACTCAGCCTATCTATAGAAAGCACAGAATGTCTGGTCCTTTGCAAATGCATTTAAAAATGTTTTCTGTTTCATTTGATGTATTAAAATTTCTGAAGCAGTTGTAGTGTCTGTGCCCTTTATCCAGCTACTGCAACTTTATACGATATACGTTAAGATCAGGACCTTGAAGATATCTGGATCTTTTGAATACTTTTTGATTTGGTATACTCAGAATCAGAAACATAATACCTAGTTTGAGAAATACAAGAAAACAGTGGTAGTACTGGGTTGGTTCCAGACTTAGAGGAGATCCATTGAAACCAAATGGTTAAGATAGTCATGGCTTCATTTAAGTCCCATTGATTTCTTTGGGTCTACCCTGGATTCCTATTACTATTCCATAAATACTCTTACCCTGTGCAGGTCACTCATGGTAATTCAGTACATTTTATAGAACAGCTTGTATATGGAGTTAAAAATGTTGGATTTCCCCCCTCAAATTTTTGTTAGTTGTCAAGCTTTGTGTAGCTTATGTGAGTTCTGTTTTGGACAAGGCAAAACTGTCTTGCTTAATTTAGTGAGCCTTAAAAACATACCCTGTCCTGAACAGCTCGACTGAATATGAAGCTACAAAGGGCCTGGAACATTCTACGAGATTGACATGGACTTATTTATGTATGCCTTTGTGTAAAATACCTTTTCTGTCCCAGTATAGGTAAAGAAAGCCAGATTATATTTCTTCCATTCATTTAATTTAATATTCACTATCTGAACTATGCTATAAGGAACAGTGAAGATCTTTTTTTCAGTTAGATGCAATATCAGGTGGCTAAATACAAGATACTTCAGAAGATGGGCACAGCTTTATCATCTTAACTTTTCTTCCAGCTTAAGAATTTCATTTCTTAAGAACGGTACATCACTTGTCTAAGTTTATTTTTCCCCAGCTGAGTATAATTACTAACATGTGAAACTAGGTTTTATCTTGGTATGGGAATAAATAAACAGCATCAGGAAGATGAAACATAATCAAATAGAATAGATCTTAATGTTTGTGGGCTTTCTAGAAATGTCTGGTTCTGAAAATTGAAACCTGGATGCTGGACTACATAGGCTGATCTAACTGGATCTCTTATGCACATATATAATTGCTAGAACAGAGTTGCATAGATATATTAAAGGGAAATCACACAAGCCTTGTATTATGCATAAATCCAAGTCTCTAAATCCCCATCCATCCTAGCCTGCATAACCAGTGGTGAAGCATCACAGTACAGCTCTTGTTCGTTCCTTTCACAGAGTGTGTTTACAGTACTTCCAAAGACACAAACTAATGGCGAGACTTTGATAACTACCATCTACATGTTCAGTTTTGCGGTACGGTACTGATGCACTGAACCTCCAGTAATAGAGGTCCCATTCTTATCCACTAACACTATGATTTTAAAATACCAAATGAAGCATTCCATGTCTCCCTGTCTACTTTAAAAAGCAAATATTGTGACATTACCTGAAAAGTTTTTAAATTCCTCTTTCAGCAGTTTACCTTTTTATTCAAATACAATGAAGACTAGTGTATGGATGAAGTTTCTGTGAAATCAATTCAGTTTAAGCTGTCCCCATAGTTTTACTGTCAACTTTTCTTCACTTCTTTTGAGAGAGAAATCTCTAGTGGTATTGTTTTGCACTTTTCATGGGTCTCTTAACACTGTAGCCTGCAATGTGAAAGGAACAATTGCCATACTGCTGAAAGGGGTGTGATGATTAACTCAGATACGATTAACCTCTATAAATTGGTGCTTAAAGACATTAACAAACTGTATGTATTAATTGCAGTGCTTTTGCAAGAGACAAATGTGGGTTTGGGTAAAATTCTGAAACATGTTAAACTGCTGTAATAAAAGTATTTTAGGGAGATGAATCCCTTTGACAGAATTTCCAAATAGTATGTGGATGTTGCATTTCTGTTCTTGGCAGCACCTGATCCAAGCTTACTGCAATAAATTGCAATATGATTTGCATCATATATAGTATGTTTCAAATTTCAGAGGGATTTATCTCCACCCCACCCCTCTATGCACACTCAAAGACTTCAGCTGTAAATTCAATAGTGAAAAAGAAGAAACAAATTTTCATTACTGTATCTTGTAGCAAAGCTTTTAATAAAGTACAGTATCAGAAACAGGAATCTGTTAGAAAAGTGTATTGTGAATGGTAATTCTTGCTTCCCACCCCCCAGCAATCTTTTTAAATAGTGAAGACTCCTTAACACATTTAAAAGATACTAAGAATGTTATTTTTTAAAAAAAGGAGTGGGTGGAATTAGAACTAGAGGTGTGCAGGCTCCTTTTTTGTTCCATTTCAGTAGTGGAGGAAATGTTGGCAGATGTGATCTACTAATTGCCAATAAATGCTGTAATATCAACAGTATAGCATATTTGGCATATACAATGCTAAATATAACAACCGAGATCACTCAGGCTGGCCATTTAGTACAAGTCATCCCCCTTTCGCAGTGATGGATGAGGCTGTCTTCTGTTTGCTGTGTCATGTCATTTTGCCCAAGTTTATCGTGTTTAATGCTACCTAATATGACAGTTTGAGCCAGTGATTGGAGACGTTCATAGAATAAAGTACAGGGAAGCTTTTCTTTCTCATGGGATAATAGCAAGCTATTAGGAGACACTGTACTGGAACTGTGGATTGTATGAAGTTTTCAAAAAGCACATTTTAAAATAAGTACTAATGTGAGGGCTATTTCATTTTTCTTCTGCTCTTCAAGGTAAGCACCTGATCCAAATAGTTGCTGATTTACAGGAAGGACAATCATGGTTTTTTCTCTCATAGCCTTTGGTACAATCCCAATTTAAGTTCTTATTTGTATCTAGCACTAGCTGATATAATTAAGTCTGCCACATTCCTTCCTAGTTTCATTTTAAGACTTACACACTGAAGAGTATCATTTTTTCATCTTACCCAGCAGTATCCCTTCCCAACATTATTTTTGCTTAACATCCAGCCTGATTAAGAGTTTTGAAGAATTCCAAGGTTTGCTTGCTACTTTGTGACCTGTTCGCTAGTCCTAATGTGTTACTTGGCTTAATTGTGCATTTTGCTGTCCATCTGCCTTCCATTTTCTCACCTCTTTCCTCTGAACATACACAAAGGGCTGTCTGGACATGCGTTTTGTAATGGCTTAGTAAATTTACTACTACTATTCAGTGTGAGGCTCAAAATTCAACTCTTCCTTGCCCTCTTTCTCAATGTCTGTCATTTGGTTCTCAGAGGTTTCAGAAAACCCACTACGTTTGACACCTATCCCTTCTAATCTTGACTTCCTCTTCTTTGTTATTTGAGCAAATTGTTTATAACTAAAGTTTGTTTGGCTTTTTGTGGAAATTGCACTCCACTGAACTTCTCAGTGGATTCCCACATTGAGTCTTCTCTCATTCAAATCTAAAAGCTTTTTCTCAGTCGTCCTTCCTTTAATTTGCCTGTTACTGGGTGCTTTTGATTGTATCAAAAATATCACTGCCCTTTCTTGGTGCTTCTAAGACTTTTTCTTTTAATTGATTCTCCTTTCTCTTCCAACTACTCCATTTCTCAGTCATGTCATATATTACTTGCTCCAAAGTAAAGCATGGGAACATTGTTTCTGCATGGTGGTGTTCCGTGCTGAGGGCACATGATATTTGTCTTGGTCTTGTGAAGGTTGGAACAACGCCAAGCACGGGATAGGGACCTCTCTGAGGGAGGGCCAGGTACCTGCCCCTTTAAAGGAGGCGGTAGTCTGACCGGTCCTGAAGAAAGCGTCACTGGATCCAGAGATGGCCACTAATTATAGACCAGTGGCCAATATCCCGTTTCTGGGCAAGGTGTTGGAGCGGGTGGTGGCGGGACAACTCCAAGCACTCTAGGAGGAAACTTATTATCTGGACCCATTTCAGTCCGGCTGCAGACCCGGGTACGGTACTGAATCTGCCTTGGTCGCCCTGTACAATGATCTGTGCAGAGAGAGAGACAGGGGGAGTGTGTTCCTGTTGGTTCTCCTGGACCTCTCAGTGGCTTTCGATACCATCGACCATGGTATCCTTCTGGATAGGCTAGTGGGATTGGGGGTCAGAGGCACTGCTTTGCAGTGGTTCTGCTCCTATCTCAATGGCCGATACCAGAAGGTGATGCTGGGGGACTATGGCTCTGCGCCATGGCAGCTATGCCATGGAGTTCCGCAGGGTTCCATCTTGTCCCCCTTGCTATTTAACATCTACATGAAACCGCTGGGAGAGGTCATCAGGAGGTGTGGGATGCAGAATCATCAGTACGCTAATGATACCCAGCTCTACCTCTCGTTCTCTACCAATCCAGGTGAGGCAGTGGCTGTACTGTACCGATGCCTGGCCGAGGTAATGGGCTGGATGAGGGCCAATAAACTGAAGCTCAATCCAGACAAGACGGAGGTCCTGTTGGTTGGCGGATTGGGCTTCGGGGAAGGGGACCTGAACTTAGTCCTGAATGGGGTTGCACTCCCTCTTAGGGACAAGGTCCACAGCTTGGGAGTACTCCTCAACCCGGAGCTTTCACTGGAAGCTCAGGTGACAGCAGTGGCAAGGAGCACTTTCTTTCAGCTTTGGCTGATCCATCAGCTGCATCCCTACCTGGAGAACAACTGCCTGGCGACAGTGACACACACGTTGGTGACTTCCCGCCTTGACTTCTGTAATGCTCTCTACATGGGGCTGCCCTTGAAGACGGTCCAGATACTTCAATTGGTTCAAAATAGAGCTGCCAGGCTGCTGACGGGGACTGGGTGTTATGTTCACATGACTCCAGTTCTCCGTCAGCTTCACTGGCTCCCCATTGAAGTCTGGGCCCAATTCAAGGTGTTGGTGATGACCTATAAAGCCCTAAACGGCTTGGGTCCTGGTTACCTGAAGGAGCGCTTACGTCCATATATGCCCGCCCACCCCTTGAGATCTGTGGGAGAGGCCCTTCTCCGGGAACCCTCCGTGAAGGATATTAGGAGGGTGAGTACTCAGAGGAGGGCTTTCTCTGTGGTGGCGCCCCATCTATGGAATGCGCTCCCCAGAGAGGTCTGCCTGGCGCCGTTGTTATTTGTTT